CAAATCCAAAACTCACATAACGGTTCCCAGACCAGCCATTGTTGAAACATATACAAGTTCATGGGAGGTGTTGATCTCCTTGATATGCTGTCTGCACTTTACAAGTTCAGCTTCAGATCCGCGAAGATGGTACATGTACATCTGGTGGCACACTGTTACAGTGGCAGTCATCAATGCGTGGAACCTCTACAGAGAGACCAGAAGAAGCTAAACCCAAGAAGAAAACCCGTGCCTCTGTGAAGGTTTCAGGCTTTGGTTGGCAGGAAAGGCCAAAATCAGGTGTGGCAGACCACTATCCTCTCCAGAAGAGACTCCAACACCACCCCGTAAAAGACCAAGCTGCAGTGTGCCTCTTGATGTGAGAAGGGATGGCATTGATCATTTTCCAACATGGGAAACCCGACAGAGATGCAATCACTTCTCACATGTCTACTGTGAGAAGTGTAAGGTGCATCTTTGCCTGAAAGGACAGAAACTGTTTTTGTGCCTACCACAAATGAAATAAAAAGGCTGTAAAAAGTGTTATGTTAAAAAAAAACAACGAGAAAGCTTCCTGAAATGTGTGCAAAAAATTGCAAAAACGCCCGATGTATCAAAATGTGCTACAAACAAATATCATAAACAACATGATATGACAAAAACATTTTGGGGGATTTTTGTTTAAGGGTTTAATAAACATCTCAATTCCAAAAGAATAGAATTTCCTGGTTATTTTTTCATGTGTCAGGCTTTACAGGGTTAAGATGTATTTTCCCCAATTATAGTCCTTTCATACTGCAACACCAAACCACTCCCTGCCTAGATTACAAGTTAAAGAGTGTTTAGGTTCTGTAATAATCCTGCCTGCAGTTCCAATTAGTTTGTGATTGAAATACAGATGTGCAAAAGAAATGCAGACGTGATAGAATTGCTTAGCTTGAAACACATAATTGATGGATAAATGGGGGATGAGTTCAATTTCAGAAGGAGAATTCACCAAATCAGCAGGAGAAACTCACCGCGTGTACTAGAAGTTTGTTATGTAGCCACCTCTGATTCGTTTTAGTGACTGCTGGGAGATCCCAAGACAGGGAAAGATCTGACACTGTGTCCTTCTGTTCCTGAGTAAGTTCTTCAAGTTCAAGCTACAGTTTGGATCATAAAAGGTATTACACCTGTCCAGGAATTTTGCAAGGCATATGTTTTTTTGTTTGTGTGTTACATATACCATTGTTATAATACTCCTGATGTGCAGATCAGGACAGTCCTCGACAACAATTGTTGCCATTTCAGGGTCCCCATTGAACAGTACATGAATAACAGCAGGACTTAATCCGGTGACATGGGGGCCATCATGCAAAAAGGAGTGGGCTATCATCCTTCCTGGGCTATCATCCTTCCTGCAACCGGAAGAGGTTGCTCTCAATAAGCACCTCTGATGCAGCTGGAACGAGATGGTCAGGCTCACCTTCAAATAGCAGAGTTTGGCCCACTCCCCTGTAAGTACCAACAGAGCAGGGCTTCAAATCAAACAATTAACTTTTAAAATGCATGACATTAACCTGAATAGTAGCACATTTACCAAGATTCATTCTGAATCCAAACTGGAGTTTGGATATTATTGTTGTCAGAAAGTACCGCATCACTCCCTGTCCAACAGCAGCATCACCTATAAAACTTTTTTTTTTTAAAGAATACTGTATACTGTTAATAACACACTAGAAACAAGCTGTAACAAGGCTATAGGTGCTTGACAAGTTTTAGGAAGGAAGGACAAACACATGAACTGTTATGCAGACAGCATGAACAGCCAATGCAGATTATCATATAATGATTAATATCAGCCAAATGACCTGATGGGACCAGTAAACCACTAATACCATTCCATATAAGACATAGAATTGATATTAATGTAACAGGATATATTTATATTATGAACTCTATTCTACTAACCATCAAGGTACAATGAAGTGGACATGCCCATTCCTGTTGCTGTTTATAGAATGAGAGAAGTGCCCGTTCCCTGTCCTCCTCACGCTCCCTTACATCCAGTTTCAGTTTAAGAGGCTTCCCGGTTGCATGTTCACTTAGTAGATTATCTTTGAAAACTTGGGCAGCCAGAGTTGGTTCTTTAATAATCTTCCAGTCTAGACAAGAAGAAAAATAAATGTAACTACTTTGCATGTTAAATGCAGATAAACTCCCAATCAACAGAAAAGGAGGAACACCTGAAAAATGTGACAGAATCCAACAGCCTTTTAATAGATACTAGGAAAGTCCATTTCTACTTGACTTTCATCAGAATGATGCTTATTTGCTGTTTGAAGTCAACCAAGCTTCACTTAGATGTGGAGTCTGTGAACTGTATGAGGAAGTGTTTCTAAGGTTCTATAAAACAGCAGTGATAATGGCATGTCTTCTAGTCGTTATTTATTATGGTTAAAAGGTGTTATTCTTCTATTGACTGAGTTCTAATCATGCACAATATTATAGCATTCCTACTGTGATGACACAAAGCATTGTCAAGTTCTTTAAGATCAATCTTCTCACTTTCAATCACTACTGGTTCTACTTCACTCTCTACAGATGTTTCAGGCCTCACTGGAACGCTGTCCCTGTCAGTGGGTGGCTCTCTATCATTCTCCTCACCACGGTCTCCCTCTCCTTCTCTATGTGTTTCCTGCACTGGGGTCCTTGAAGTTCAGAAAATGTTATAGTCATTTCCTCTCATCTGTGTGCACAAAAACTAAAAAGACATTTCTTATTGAAAAATGAATATGTAATTCTTATATATCTTTAACAAGTGCATAGCCATCCCAGTTAGCTCGGTGCAGTTTCATTTCAGAGAAGGGAACCTCCTTCTGGACCAGAGGCATGTCCCGAGCTTTCCTAAGAACAACAAATCTGTTAAGTATTGATTAAAACTCCACAGTGCAATTTATTTGAACTATGTATCAAATGGTGACAGTGTAAATTTCCATACTGAATCAATGGGTAGGTCCTGTTGAAGTGGGCGTATGTCAATTGTAGCCTGTCCAATTGTTGGAGATGGATCTTTTAGATAGGTAAGGGTGTATCCTGTGCTGGGACATTGAAGAAGTCCAAGATTTCGACTGCGAGTAGATCCTGCAATTTTTAGAAACTCAAAGCCTCCCCCTTCTTGCAGCTTTGGAAACACCTCCATCAGTTTGTTTGTTACAACCATGGGATCGTTGTCATTTCCTGTAAATATACATAATGCACATGAACTCAAATACCAAAAGCTAAGCTGTGATAACAAATACACAGCAAGAAAATCACGTCATTAAAGTTTGAGTCTAATATGTAAAATAGGTGAACACAAATGGCGATAAAATGAAATTAAAAATACAACTCCTACTAATGTCAGGACTCAGTGCTTTGTCAAAGTTCTTGTTTCAGACGCACCTGAAAAGATCACCTTTGTTCTCCAAGTCCTGAAGCAAGAAGGTCTGCTTTAAGCTGAATGCTTGGAACTTTATCAGCCTTGTTGTTGTTGTTGTTGTTGTTGTTGTTGTTGTTGTTGTATGGAGCAAACAGCCTTGCTACTTCGGCTGCAACACAGAGAAAATGTTACAGCTCCCATGATCGCCACTCAGCTAAAACATCCTTAAGTCCTGATAAATGTAATAAAGAAAGCAAACAACAACTAAAAAGAAAGAAGTGATAAAAGTCCAACTTCAGGGCTGCTGACATGCTAACACCATTCTGCCGACTAGCTAGCTTCGTTTAGAAGCACATCTGGCTATCCTTACCTACCTTGAACAGGTGTACGTGGTGTAGCGACAGGTATCTGCTGTACCTGTGCTCCGGAGAGCTTTTGGACATCCTGCACTAACACTTTGCACCAATGGTGAGCTGATTGATCCGTCTTCACTTGTATCATCAGCAACTATTTTTTCGGCGACAAATGAAGAGCGTACCGAAACGAATATACGGATGAACACTGTCACCTAACGTATCGGAGTGCATTCACTGCTTCAATCCATTATCTGGGATCGATCTGTCATGACTTGCTTTGCTGAGTAACCAATCAGATGTTAGAAACTTTGACGAGCAGCAGTGACAGATGAAATGATTTCATGATGCACTGCTGGTGTAGGGACCATGAAATGATAAAGTAAATAGTGAAATAATTAAATAAATAGTAAAATAATTAAATGAATTAACATTAAATTAATTACATTTCATTTTAAATAATTAATTATTAACATTTGACACATTTAAATAATTATTTAATTATTTAATAACACATGCATTTAATTAATTAAATAATTATATATTTATTTACATATTTGTTGATTTATTTCCAATATTAAATAATTGATGACACATTTAATGATTTAATTAATTATATATTTATATATTTCATTTTGGCACTTTTAGTCCTCCATAGGTGAGCGTCCAACTTCCCTGAATGTTAAACTGTAGTTGCCTTCTATCTTTGGTTTCCCGTCCGGTTAATGAAGTCTGCTTTACTTGTTTAATCGGTGGAATATGCGCACAGACATATCAGCACTTGTTCTGTTTAAACATCAGCAGGTCACTCACTGATAAGTCCCTGTCACTGTAATAACACCCTTTGTAATCTGCAGCGGCATTTCTCTTCGTCCCGCCCCGTCTTGTATCTCCATACAGCCGATATTATACCATAAATGATATACTATATTACTATATAGGCTACAGCATATGCTATATAGCCTATAGACAGTTTATGGGCCCACTATTGGTCCCCCCCCTCTGCAATGACCCACAGGCTCCGCGCCTGGTTTTAACGTTTACTTTATTGGGAGATTATAACTCAAAATGCTCCCGAACAGGAGACGTTTTCCTCTTTCTCACAGGCTCCATTTCTCCAAAAAAAGAGAACCAAAACTACAACTCCCAACAACCAACTAACGCAAACTCACGAGGAGACATGACAAGTGGGTTTCACTTCCTCTTCCTCATTGAACACAAACAGATCAATGACGTAGACTCGAAGTGAGGAAAGAAAGAAATGTGCCTCCTACTCGACACACGCTTCAAAGCCTCGGTGTCAAACGTAACATTACTAATCTGGACTTTTACCTGAAACTGAATCCACAAACCGGATAAGAGGTAAAAAAAAAAGAACAAAGAATACAGATTAAAGGAACTTTGAGTGACAGGGAGTGACTCCCAGCTGTTCGTCTCCTCGTCTTCAGCTTGAGATAAAATGGCGTCCAAGTTAGAGGAAGATCTGAGCTGTCCGGTCTGCCTCGACATCTTTAAAGATCCAGTCATCCTGTCCTGCTGTCACAGCTTCTGTAGAGAGTGTGTGAAGGACTGCTGGAAGGAGAAGGAGAACAAGGAGTGTCCGGTTTGTAAGAGGAGACAGTCAAAGGATTTCTTACCTCCTAACTTTACTTTAAAGAACCTGTGTGAGAGTTTTGTGCAGGAGAGAGATCAGAGAGCTTCAGAGGATCTCTGCAGTCTGCACTCTGAGAAACTCAAACTCTTCTGTCTGGACCATCAGGAGCCGGTGTGTGTCGTCTGCAGAGATTCAGAAAAACACAAACACACAATCAGACCCATCGATGAAGCTGCTGGACAACACAAGAAGAAACTTCAGGAAACTCTGGAGCCGGTAAAGAAGAAGTTAAATGTTTTTAAAGAAGTTAAAGTGAAGTTTGATCAAACAGCAGAACACATTCAGGTCCAGGCCCGACACACAGAGAGGCAGATTAAGGAGCAGTTTAAGAAGCTTCACCAGTTTCTAGAAGAGGAAGAGGAGGCCAGGCTGTGTGCACTGAGGGAGGAAGAGGAGCAGAAGAGTCAGAGGATGAAGGAGGAGATGGAGGCTCTGAGCAGAGAGATAGCAGCTCTTTCACACACAGTCAGAGACACAGAGGACGAGCTGAGAGCTGAAGACGTCTCATTCCTGAAAAACTACAAGGCTGCAGTGGAAAGAGTCCAGCAGCGCCCCCTGCTGGAGGATCCACAGCTGCCCTCAGGAGCTCTGATAGACCAGGCCAAACACCTGGGCAACCTGAGCTTCAACATCTGGAACAAGATGAAGGACATGGTCTCCTACAGTCCGGTCATTCTGGACCCAAACACTGCTCATCCAGTCTCATCCTGTCTGAAGATCTGACCTGTGTGACACGAGGAGAGAGACAGCAGCTTCCTGATAATCCAGAGAGGTTTGATACTTACGGCTCTGTCCTGGGCTCTGAGGGCTTTAACTCAGGGACTCACAGCTGGGACGTCCAGGTTGGAGACAATACATACTGGAACCTGGGTGTGTTAGCAGAGTCTGGACAGAGGAAGGGAAAGAAACAGTCTGGATTATGGTTAATATGGTTCTATGATGGTAAATACAGAGCACACACCCCACCACATCCAGACACTGCTCTCTCAGTGAAGAAGAAGCTTCAGAGGATCAGAGTGAATCTGGACTGTAACAGAGGAGAGCTGTCCTTCTCTGATCCTGATACTAACACACACATACACACCTTCACACACACTTTCACTGAGAGGATGTTTCCATACATTTACACTGGTGATGAACTCCCACTGAAGATGTTACCAGAGAAGATCTCTGTGACTGTGTCGTCCTGATGTCTCTGGTTGTCTTTATGACAGAGCTCAGATCTGTTTGGTGTAACTCAGGGACTCACAGCTGGGACACTGTGGGGGGGTAGAGTCTGTCCCTGTTCTCTGAGTGAAGAAGAGGCTGCAGAGGATCAGAGTGAGTCTGACACCAACACACACTTTCACTGAGAAACAGTTTGCATGCATCAGAACTGAGAGAAGAACTCCCACTGAGGACTTAACCACTGAATCTCTGTGACTGTAGATTTAAAAAAACATCTTGATGATTAGAATCAAATTTCACTCATTTTTCTTAAGCGATATTTGAACACCTTAACAATCAATGATCCATTAATGATGAATAATTAATGAGCCATAAAAAGCTCGTCTTCTTCTCAGTTTATGTTTTGTTGAAGTTATTTTAAACATGAATTCATTAAATACAATCAGTTTGAAATAATTAAACTACGAGGCTCTCTCTTAAAAACAACGTATTGTCATGATTTGGTCTTATGTAGTTTGTATTTTCAGTTTGTCTCCTAGCTTAGTTTCTAGTGTTTTTATTTTGTATTTCCTATACCTGTGTTTCTTTGTTCTAGTGTGTTTTCTTGGTAATGTTTCATTCTTGAGTTCTGTGTGTCTTTTAGTGTTTCATGATTTAGTTTGTAGTTGTCCTCAGTGTTTCTTGTATTGTATTCCTGCCTCTGTGTGTTTCCCTCCGTGTTGATGACCCTCATTGTCTTCACCTGTGTCGTTAGTCTCACCTGTGTCTGATTACCCCATGTGTCTATTTAGTCTCTGTGTTTCTTGTCCTCTGTGTCAGTTCATTGTTTGTTGGTATTTGTCAGTTTTTGCTCGTGCTCCTGTGTGGCTCTCTGTTTTTGATCCCTGTGTTTTTTTTGTTGAACTTTTGGAAGTAAGTTTTTGTTTATTAAATATATTTAGTTAATTCTGCACGTGGGTCCAGTTCCTTGTTTTTCCCCTGAACGTGACACGTATAACTGTCCTTATCACCTGTTCTGAGTTTGAGTCTTTCTGGAGCTTCATCCTGTAAAGGTTCGGCTCTGTGGGTTTGTTATCATGTTTGAAATGTCAAATATAAGACCTGAAGACTGTTCATATTTCTTTACCATCTTCATGTTCAGAGGATGAACCCTCCTCTGAAGAACGCTTTACGTTCTTTAGAACAACAAAGAGTTTAAATATGTGGTTAGTGTGAATCCTGTTCCTGTAATCATTAATAAAGTTTCTTGATCTGAATCCGTCTTTATGACTCGTGTTGTGTTTCATTGATCTTGTAAAAGTCATCATGGAGGAGTGTCTCTCCTGAGAGGAGGAGTTTGTCTCTGTCAGTCATTATAAAGTTATTCTGATTATTTCAGGTGTTTCTTTAAGTCCAGTCTAAACCTGCGACCTGAACCTTTCAGATCCAGTGGATCAGTGTCGTCTCTGACTCGTCCGTCAGGTCGGAGAGGAGTTAGATTCAGAGATCCAACGAGCTCTGGAGAACACGGGGTTAATGATTGAAGGTCAACGACCTGATGAACATCACGTGTCCGAGCAGCGAGCAGCACCTGAGCAGCGAACTACGGGTGAGCGTATTGCATCATTTCCTGTTCTGTTCTCCTCTGTACTGTGTTACTGTGTACCTACTCTTAGCTTAGCTTAGCAGTTAGCTTCTTTTTCTGTCTCTCCCTCTCCTGCTCTCTCCTGCTCTACGTGTCAGATGTTAAGTTACTCCTCGTCCTCCTTTAGTGATAATGATACTTGTAAGAAATGTAGTTTATTTTTAGCTTTGGAGGCGAGGGTGTCTGAGTTAGAGAGACGGCTCCGCACCATTGAGTCAGAGTCATCGTACGCAGCAGTAGTTAGCCAGCCACCTGTAGCCGGTGCGGGCCGACATAGCTTGGCTTCCCCCCGGTAGCTCCCGAGCAGCCGGGAGGCGGTGGCTGGGTTACTGTCCGAGGGAAGCATAGTCGAAAATCGAAGCTCACGGTTCCCCACCAACCACTTCACGTTTCAAACAAATTTTCCCCACTCAGCGACACACAGAGAATAAAACTCTGATTATTGGAGACTCCATAGTCCGAAACGTGAAGCTAGCGAAGTCAGCGGGCATAGTTAGGTGTATACCCGGGGCCAGAGCGGGCGACATCGCATCTCATTTAAAGTTGCTGACAAAGACTAAAGGTAGATTTGATACAATCGTAATTCATGTCGGCACTAATGACTCCCGACTACGCCAGTCGGAAGTCACTAAGGTTAATGTGGAGTCGGTGTGTACTTTTGCTAAGACGATGTCGGACTCCGTAGTGTTCTCTGGACCCCTCCCAATCAGACCAGTGATGACATGTATAGTCATCACTCAACCGCTGGCTGTCGAGGTGGTGTCCAGCACACGATGTGGGCTTCATAGATAACTGGCAGTCTTTTTGGGGAAAACCTGGTCTGCTAGCTAGAGACGGCATCCATCCCACTTTGGACGGTGCAGCTCTATTATCTAGAAACATAGCAGAGGTTATTAGTCCAAAACCTTGACAACAACACAGAGTTCAGACCAGGAGGCAGAGCTGCAGTCTTACACTTAGATCT